CCCCAAAACCCCAAAACCCCAAAACCCCAAAACCCCATTTTTAGAGTTAATATAGGTAATTTATGAATTATAAAATGAAACCTCGTCCGAAGAAGACAACTATTAAAGCATTCAACCAGAAAGATTACACATTTGATCCAGAAGGACTCCTTGTTGTTAAGAAAATACATAGGAAACAGAGTATCCAGGATCATGCATTTGGGGATTATCAGAAGCAGAGAGATTTTGGGGAGGACCAACCTGTTGTTTTAACATCTGGTAATCAGATGAAGGTCAGAGATGAGTATTTTTACATGAACTTTACGGGTAATGTTAGTGAGGTATGTGTTTAGAGCAAGGTAGAAGGACTGTGCTTGAGAAACAGCCGAAAGATTATGCCAAACTTATTATGAATTCATTATTTATCAAAAGAACTGATTTCAAACATTTCAATATTCGGAGCAAATCAAGAAACATTCAAGCTCAAGGTACTCTTAAAATTAAATATAGATACTTGGAGCAAAAGTCTCCAACATATGAGAGGTATTGTATATATTCACATCAATAGAAATTCCAGATACGACTAAATAAAGAAAAAGTCATGAAAAGATTTCAAAGCCTGGAATCTGCAAAGAAACTTTGTGAGCTTCTAAAAGAAAACCAAACTAAAGACCCTAATGTCCCATCACTAAGACCCCAAATCTGGAACAAGTTCATTAAAACCACAAGGAACTTATGAATAAAACGACGTAACATCCCTCTGAGCCAAAGGACCACCAGAAGAGAAGCCCACAAGAGAAACATCAAAGTATTAACACAGAAACATCCCAAGAGGCCAAAGGTAATTCTGAGGTCTAAAAAATCTACTCTTCATAAAACCTGAAACATCTATAGAGAACAGCAGTCTCTCATAGAGTCCCAGAGAGGCTGAAACCAAAGAAACCGCAGTAAATTTTCACAAATAATATTCAATCATCATTAAAATTTTGGGGTTTTGGGGTTTTGGGGTTTTGGGGTTTTGGGG